CCCCTCTGCAAGCTGCCTTCACCCCCGCCCCCACGGGCCCTGCACACGGCCTCCAAAACCACCTCCTGGCTTGTCCCAGGAGCTGGAAGCCAGTGCTCCTCCTGGGGAAGTGGACTTCTGTCCCCGCGTCCCTCCTGAGGTGAGCTCTCCCCACAAAGGCCACAGTGTGAGCAGGGAACCCCAGCCTCCTGACTCCCAGCCTGAGTCAGGCCTGGTGCCCTGAGCTGTCCCCACGCCAGCCAGGGAAACACACTGACCTCAGACCCCAACAGAGAAAACTGGCTGGGTGGTAACAGGAGGTAACAGCCACGCTCCCTGCCTGGGGGTGGCCCGAGCCGTCTCGTCCTCCTGGGCTACACTCCTCTCCACCCCCAGAGTCACATTCCGACCGTGCCACCCATCATGGCGGCAACTAATCGTAAGTGAGCAATTCTGACACTACCTATACCCAGCCAGGCATCTAAACATTTTCTCATCCACACACCCGCCTACTTAGCCATCTATCTATCCATCCACTGGCTCATTCCCCAATCCTTCTGTCTATCCATCTGTCCACCCATCCATCCATCGACCCATTCTCCTGTCTAAGCCACGCTTCCATCTATCCATCCATATCCCCACCTACCCATCCTCTGAAGCATGCATTGCACCAGCATCTTCTTTGAGCTCTTGGTGAACCAAGATGAGTCAGGCTGAACAGGACTGGCCGGAAGACCACAACAAGCCCCTCTCTACCCCTCACCCCCAGATCCACAATGCTTGCCCACCACATTCCCCGTCCTGATTAGGGTGGGAAATTCTTGGGTGGCTTCCACCTTACCTCTCCCAACCTGGCCAGGGGCACAGGTGAGTGCTAGATGCCCACCCAAACTGGGCGCCCTGGTGCATCTCCAAGTCTCATGCTCTACCTATCAAACCCTGAGTCTGGTGGCAGTCAGGGGTGGCCCCCTCCTCCCCACCACCGCCAGCCATCCAGGCTCAGGCTTCCCTCCACTTGCCCAGCCGGGCCATCTGGAATTTGGCCCTTGACCCTCCTCCTCCTGGGTCGCTTGCCTGCTCCCCAGTGCCTCACCCCCACTGAGGCTGTAGTCCTGACCTCGGATCTGACCCACCCACTCGCCAGACGGCCTGCAGCCTCCCCTCAGACGCCCCAGCACTGGCCATTGCCCGAATCATGACTGGGCCCGCCACACCCTTGGACCGGGCTCCGGCCCGCCCCTGAGGAGCCTCCAGAGGCTGCCTCCCCCAGCCTGCCCCGCCTGCTGCCCGGCTCTCCAGCCAGCTCCCTCCCCCCTCCCAGACGATTGCAACAACCTCCTAACTGGTCCCTGGCCCCCGGCACCCCCCTCCATCCACCGCACACCAGCCACAGGGCTATCTCATCATCCCGCCTCTGCCCTGTGCCCCTCTGATGGAGGCCAGCCTTCCGGGGGCAGCTCTGCCACCTCGCAGGCCAGGCCTCTACCCGCTTTCTCTCTCCACTCTCCCTTCTCCCTCTCACCCTGACCCTTCTCTAGGCCCAGCAGCGTCCTTCATATTCTCCAAACTCGTCGGGAGCTCTCCCAACTCAGTAACTTTGTTTCGGCTCTGCCTTCTTCCCATCATGCCTGCCTTGCATCCTCACTTGTTGACGTCACACCCATCTCCAGACCACTCCAATGACTCTTCGGGGTGCTGCAGCAAAAAGGGAACTGGAAGAAGGGTCTAATGCCTTGGTTCTAGTCCCAGCCCTGCCACCGACTCGTTCTGAGACTCCCGGGGCCTCCTGTGCAAAAAAAAAAAAAAAACCTGTTGATTTCCAGGAATCTCCCAGGTCTAGGATGGATGACTTCTGGGGGAGGCTGGTGAATGTGGGAAGCAGGTGGGCTTTGGCTACAGGTAGGATTCCACCATCCCCACTGCATTGCCCTGAGCCAGGTTCTTCACTTAGCTGAGTCTCATTCCCACATTCCTTCCTTCCTTCTTTTTTTTAACCGTCTTTGGTTTATTTGGCTGCATGCAGCATGTGGGATCTTAGTTCCCTGACCAGGGATCAAACCCAGGCCCACAACAGTGAAAGCATGGAGTCCTGACCAGTGGACTACCAGGGAATTCCCCTTTCATTCATTTGTTCATTCAGCAAACCCCACTGAGCAGCATCTGTGGGCGGGGAGCTTTCCTGGCTTGGGGAATACAGTAAGAAACAAGACAATGGAGCTACAGAAATGGAGCTTCCGGTCTCCTGGGCAGGGATTCTCTACCTGGGGCAATGCTGCCCCCAGGGGCCAGGACATTTGGTGATGACTGGAGTCCTTTGATTGTTCCACCTGCAGGAATGCTACTGGCATCTAGAGGGAAGCCAAGGATGCTGCTAAACACCTTACAATGCACAGAACAGTCTCCACAAGGTATCATTAGGCAGCCCTGAGTCTCAGTCAAGCTGAGGCCGGAAAAACCCCGGCTACTGGGGAATTCAGAAAGTGAAAAAAGTGAAAGTATTAGTCGTTCAGCTGTGTCCAACTGTTTGTGACCTTATAGACTGTAGCCCGCCAGATTCCTCTGTCTGTGGGATTTCCCAGGCAAGAATATTGGAGTGGGTAGCCATTCCCTTCTCCAGAGGATCTTCCCGACTCAGGGATTGAAGCCACGTTGCCTGCATTGCAGGCAGATTCTTTACCATCTGAGCCACCAGGCCAAAAAGCAAACCTATATTATGTCAAATAATGGTAAGTGCAAAGGAGAAAAATGGAACAAGACCAAGGTATGGTGGGGCCAGGGGAATGTGGGATGCTGATGCTTGAGCTGAGACCTGAAGAAAGTAAAGAAACAGAGACTTCGTCTCTTGCAGGAAGAGTGTTCTAGGCAGAGGAACAGCCAATGCAAAGGCCCTGAGGTAGACACGTGGCCTGGTGAGCTTAAGGAACAGCCACAGGCCAGGGTGGCTGGAGCAGCATGAGTGGGGGGAAGGGAGACGGATGGGAAAGGGAGTTTGCAGGGAGATCACAAGGGCCTGGGGGCCATATTTGGTGAAGACTTTGGCCTTCCTTCTGAGTGACATGGGGGCCGTGACAGTTCTAAGCAGGACAGTGATTGGATCTGACTTGAGTTTTAAAAGGATCTCCCTGACAGGACAGAGAAGGCATGAGAGGGACCAGAGGAGAGGCTGTTGCCAGAATCTAGATGGACAAGTGTAGTGGCTTGGGCCAGACGTGGGTGGCAGAGAAAGTGGTGAGGAGCAATCAGATTCTAGGTCTGTTTTGAAGGTGAAGCCAACAGGATTGCTGAGAGATTGGACGTGGGGTGTGGGAGAAAGGAGTCAAGGATGATCTCAAGGCTTTGGGCCTGAGCCAATGGAAGGATGAACGGCCCCATATTGACTCTCCTCCCCTGAGAAAGGTGATAAATCTCTATACTTCACAGACGGAAACCTTGAAAGAACCACCTTCCTGGCATCGGGCAAGCCCTTCCGAAGCCTTGTCTCTCCAGGCGACTGGCCACGTCTGCAGGGCCAGCCCTGCCACTGCAAGAAGGTTAGCAAGGCTGCCCTGGTTCCACCTCCCCCCCACCCAGATTTGCTCAGAAGAATAAGGAACATTTGTCTTGTGCTTTGCAGCTGACAAAGCACATTTGCACACACTGAGCGCAGTGATACAATAGCCCTGCTGAGCTGAAGGGCCCTGGCACGTTCCCCTCATTTTGTAGGTAATGAAAATGGAGACCCAGAGAAGGTCAGCCACTTCCTGCCATCACACAGCAGGTCAGGGACAGAGTGGGAAGCCGAGCCGGTCCGGGGGCAGCACACGGAGGGGCAGAACTTCTTCTCCATGCCTCCAGCCCTGGCTCAAATTCCTGCTAGGAGCGCAGTGGGTGTGCAGGGGTTAATATGGCAAACAGCTCCCCGGGGGACCATCCTGAAGGATGGTGCTCAGCACACAAGCCTCTAGAGGCTTCCAGAAGGGGCGGGAAGAGGACCCCGGCCAGGCCCACAGAGCAGGCCCTGGGGGCAGGGAGGGCGCCACACATGTGATGCCTGTGTCACACACATGTGTGCATCACTGTGTGCCCCGTGCCCATACTCGGCCTCTCCCAGTCGGTCCCAGCCAGCCCTGCTCACCCTGCCCGGCCCCCTCCCCCACGCACCCAGCCCTCCCGCAGCAGGAGCCCAGGAGAAGCATTTCCTGTTTAGGGGCCGCCTCCGCCCCCTCTAAGTCCAGGTTCCCAGGGCCCCAGGCTGAGCAGAGGTGAAGGGAGGGCAGCCCCCTGCCCCTCCTCTTTCCCCCCAGCCCCCACCCCTCGTCCAGCTGGAGCCAGGAGGCTTGAGGGCAGAGGGAGCGGCAGGAGCCCTGTCGAGAAATGAGGCCGGAGGATGCCGGCGCCTGGGTGATCCAGGTGGTTCCCACACCCCGGGGCTGCACGCGACTCCCCTGCACGCGGAAACCCTGAGGACTTCCCGTCTCAGGGCCCGTGGATGCCACCTCCCTTTCGCAGGGACACCTAAAGCAGTCAGCGTGTCAGAGCGGGGGCCGATCTGGGACGGAGGGACAGGGTCTGAGAGAGAGCGCACACACGTGTGTGATGAGAGGGCCTGAGTCAGAGCGTGTTTCCACCCACAGGACGGGCAGCTGTTCACGGGTTTGATGAGGTCGGTGTATCCCCACTCGGGTCTCCGTCAGTCTCTGGGAACGACCTCACCCCACCTCCAAGAGCCCCAGACGGCGCAGGACGTTTCTGGGGGTCCTCCCGCCTTCTACCCGGACTCCCCAGCCCGTTAGCTGAGCCTCATCCCCTCCCCCGCCCCCACCCCCAGCACCCCACCCCACCCCTGCCCCCCGCCCGACGGCTTCCTGCTCTGGCGGCCCCGGGGGAGCGGGAGCAGGGAGCTGGCAGCGGCCCCAGCCCCACTCCTTACAAGGCCCGAGCCCAGCCCGGGCCCGCCCCCGGCCCGCCCACCAGAGGCCCCAGTCCCTCCCCCTGTCAAGAACCGCCGCCGGCCGGGCCCGGGCCAGTCGGGGGGCGTCGCGATGCTGCTGCGCCTGCTGCTGGCCTGGGCGGCCGCGGTGCCCACACTGGGCCAGGCCCCCTGGGCCACCGAGCCCCGTGCTGCCTGCGCCCCGGGCAGCTGTTACGCGCTCTTCCCGCGGCGCCGCACCTTCCTGGAGGCCTGGCGGGCTTGCCGCGAGCTGGGGGGCGACCTGGCCACCCCGCGGACCCTCGAGGAGGCCCGGCGTGTGGACAGCCTGGTGGGCTCCGGGCCGGCCAGCCGGCTGCTGTGGATCGGGCTGCAGCGGCAGGCCCGGCAATGCCAGCCCCAGCGCCCGCTGCGCGGCTTCACGTGGACCACGGGGGACCAGGACACTGCCTTCACCAACTGGGCCCAGCCTGCCACAGGCGGGCCCTGTCCGGCCCAGCGCTGCGCCGCCCTGGAGGCAAGTGGCGAGCATCGCTGGCTGGAGGGCTCTTGCACGCTGGCCGTCGATGGTTACCTGTGCCAGTTTGGCTTCGAGGGCTCCTGCCCCGCGCTGCCCGAGGAGGTGGGCCAGGCCGGCCCAGCCGTCTACACCACGCCCTTCCACCTGGTCTCCGCGGAGTTTGAGTGGCTGCCCTTCGGCTCTGTGGCTGCCGTGCCGTGCCAGGCTGGCAGAAAAGCCTCTCTGCTCTGCGTGAAGCAGCCTGAGGGGGGCGTGGGCTGGTCACGGACAGGCCCCTTGTGCCCCGGTACCGGCTGCGGCCCCGACAACGGGGGCTGTGAACACGAGTGCGTCGAGGCGGTGGACGGTCGGGTGTCCTGTCGCTGCAGCGAGGGCTTCCGGCTGGCAGCGGACGGGCGCAGCTGCGAGGACCCGTGTGCTCATGCCCCGTGCGAGCAGCAGTGTGAGCCTGGAGGGCCGCAGGGCTACAGCTGCCACTGTCGCCTGGGTTTCCGGCCTGCCGAGGATGAGCCGCACCGCTGCGTGGACACGGATGAGTGCCAGATTGCCGGCGTGTGCCAGCAGATGTGTGTCAACTATGTCGGTGGCTTCGAGTGCTACTGCAGTGAGGGCCACGAGCTGGAGGCGGATGGCATCAGCTGCAGCCCCGCCGGAGCCACGGGCGCCCGGGCATCCCAGGACCTTGAGGATGGGTTGCTGGATGAAGGGGAGGAGGAAGAGGACGAAGAGGAAGCCTGGGAGGCCTTCGATGGTGGCTGGACAGAGATGCCTGGGATCCCATGGATGGAGGCCACGCAGTCATCCGACTTTGACCTAGCCTATAGACCTAGCTTCCCAGAGGACGGAGAGGCAGGGATGCCCTACCTGTACCCCACCTGGCCACCCCCACTTAGTGCCCCCGGGGCCCCCCACCACCCCTCAGTGCTCTCTGTCACCCGGCCTGTGGTGGTCTCGGCCACGCGCCCCCCACTGCCTTCTGCCCACCAACCCGCTATTATCTCTGCCACACGCCCACCCTTGGCCCCGGCCCCGCAGCCCCCCGTGATCCCTGCCATACACCCAGCTTTGCCTTCTGACCACCAGTTCCCCATGATCTCAGCCAACTATCCAGACCTGCCTTCTGCTCACCGACCCCTCGTTATCTCTGCCGCACAGCCAGGACCAACCCCTGCCCACCAGCCCCCAGTGGCCTCAGCCAAATATCCCAAGCTCTTCCCCGCTCACCAGTCCCCCGTGTTCCCAGACACCCAGGTCGTTGATACCCAGAACACCATGCATTTGCCTCGAATCCCAGCTAACCACACCCCTCTGGTCACCACCTCCAGTCCCCCTCAAGCCCCTGTGACCCCAGATGTCCCGATCCTCAAAGCCCAGGCCGGCCACCATCCTGTCACTTCTACCGTCCAGCCTTCTCGGACCACCGCTTTCAGGTCCCCTGTGCCCCCTGCCCATCAAGCCCCTGCGCCTGCGGCCTCCCAGCCCCCAGCCTTCCACACTCCTCTGCCCCCTCGGAGCTCCACTAGCCAGACCTCACTCACCAGCACTCCACACCCCCACTCCAAAGCCCCACAAGTCCCTAGGGAAGGCACTCCTGACCCCAGTCTGGCACCATGGCTGCCCTCGGCGGCCCCCACATCAGCTCCTCCAGCCCTGGGGGAGGCCAGTCCAGCTGGCCGAAGCCGGAGGGATGACCGGTGGCTCCTGGTGGCACTCCTAGTGCCAACATGCGTCTTCTTGGTGGTCCTACTTGCACTGGGCATCGTGTACTGTACCCGCTGTGGCCCCCACGCGCCCAACAAGCGCGTGACCGACTGCTATCGCTGGGTCACCCACGCCGGGAGCAAGGGCCCGACGGAACCCGCGCCCCACCGGGGCAGCCTCACAGGGGTGCAGACCTGCAGAACCAGCGTGTGATGGGGCGCAGCCCCCCCCCGTGGGGTGAAGGGGAAGGGGCATACATTGGACTCATGGCCCAGGCTGCACGAGGGACCCATGGGGCTGCCCAGCTGGACAGAAGCTTCCTGCTCCCCCGGGCCCAGCCAGGCTCCTCTCTCAGCCAGCCACTAGACTCGACTCTTGGGAACTCTGTTTTCTTGGCCCAGCACTCACGGTGGAGGAGACACCGAGGCCCCCAGGACCTCAGGGGGTGGGTGCTGGGGACTTCTCCAATAAAGGGGGTGCCAACCTCACCCAAAGCTTCTGATCCCCATTGGTGCCTGAGGGGAGGGTCTGGGAGGACTCAGAAAAAAAGGAGGGGATCTTCCTTCAGCTTGTTTGGGCCCCCAAGGAAATAAGGTAAGACTCCTTAAGGGAGGGTATGTTTTAGAGATTCTCAGGGAAACAGGAAACCAGAGAGGGCAGAACCTTGCCCAAGGTCACACAGTGAGCCTAGGAGTGGGAGGTTTGGCATGAAGAGAATTTCATGTTGTTCCTCTTTTAACCAAAACTCTTAGAAGGTGGGACTGAGTCTGAAATGAGGGCTTCTGCTGACCTGGAGCCAAGCTGGGACTTGGGGGTCAAAGGTAAGCTGTAGGCTGGGTGATTCTGGGGAGAGCAGGGGGCCCCCGAGGGTGAGCTTCTCCTGACTTTCTGCTTGTACTGTCCTTCCTCTCCCTGAAGGCTGCAGAAGCTGGTGGCTGGGCTCAGAGTCAAGGGAGTTGTCAGCCTCGGGGTTGTAAGTGCCCAAGAGGCACTCCTTGGGGAGAGTCTAGAAGGCAGGGCTGAAGAGAGCAGGAACCCAGGTGAGAGATCCCACACCCAGCTCCCTGGGCAGCCTCCTAAGCAAGGCCTCGGCAGCTTGAGCAGCTCGGAGCCTTTCTGTGTGCATGGTGCTGGGTCAGGGAGACCCCAGACTGAGAAAGGTTGGGCTGCTCCAAGCTGAGCTGTCCGTGAACGGGAGGAGGGGATGGTAAAAAAAAAAAACAAACCAAAATCATCACAGCCTGTGGGGACCCAGCAACCTCCCTCATCCTGGGCTCATTGCCTTGGGGACTGCGAGAGGCGGGACCTGGGAAGGGGAGGCGCCGGATCCCACCACCTCTGTAATTTTTCAGTTGCAGTTTCTAAGGGACCTCTAATTAGGATGGAAGAGAACCACCACGACCACCCGGGCAGGCGAGGAGGGGGTGGTCCAGAGCTCCCTTCCCCACGCAGTGCCCTTCGCTACCCTCTGACCCCCAAGGGCTGGGCCTGGCCTGGGAGGTTCAGCTGGGCCCCACGGGACTCGGAGAGGGGAGATGGGAGTTGGGACGAATGGGGGCGCGGGGTGGGGGGCGGCGCGGAGGGGGCGGAGGGAACGCTGCACACCGCCGCCCCCCGCTCTCACGTTCCTCTTAACTCAAACCAGACGCCCCCACCAGATCCCTCCCAAGCTTTTAACGTCGGAGGTGCAGCCACAGAGATTCACTGGATGGGAGTGGGGGGTCGAGGGGTGTCCCAAACAGTTAGATCAGAGGAGAAGGTAGGGGGCACGGCCTGTGGGGGTGGCAAAGCCCGCCAGGACGGGAAGGACTGGAATTCCCTCCCGTGACCCTGGGCAGGCAATCCAGAGCGCCTCGAGGGCAGGAAGGAGTTAAAAGCACTGCTGTCAGAGGGCGGGGATGGGAGTGGGGCAGGGGGCCCAGAGCCGGCTCTTTGTCATCCTGTAATGAGCACCAGATGCGGAGCTGCGTGCGGGCCTAAACAGACTGCCTCCCAGGGCAGAGCCCCCACTAGCGCTCAATTGGGGCTCCGCCTAGACCCGGAGCTGCGCTCAGGCTCCGCCCACTGGCTCCGGCCCCGCCTCCTCCAGGCGCGCCCCGGGTCTGCGCTATCAGCCGGGTCTCTCGGAGCTTCGAGCCACGCCCACCCACGGCCGGCTAGCGTCCCCTCGGGAACTCTCCGGAGGTCACGCCCACCAAAGCCGCAAGCCTCGCCCCCTGCCAGCACAGATTCTTCCAAACGGTTGCCCCGCCCCTCCGCTCTTTAGCTCCGCCCAGGCCGAGGCGGTACTAGGTCCCGCCCACCTGGGCCGTAAGCCCCGCCTCCTAAGTGCGACTTGCACTGGGAGACTGGCAATTGTTATTTTTTTATTTTTGAGATTGGCAATTATTAGTTCTCGCTTCAAGGTGCTCTGAACTCCGCCCAGAGTTAACACATTTTCTTCACGCAGCTCCGCCTTTTGCTGAGCTGGGGACTAGGTCCACGAGCGCAGGGAGTCCCGCAGAGACACTAACTCTGTCCGGGAGAGATGAAAACTCCGCCCTCCACGAGTTTACTCGTTCCCTTCCTCTTCAGGCTACGCCCCACCCCGTTACAAGCCACGCCCCTTCCCCGAGGTTTTTTCCCCCCCTCCAATCGCGGAGGCGGGGCCCCAAGCCACCTCCCCAGGGAAGAGCTCCGCCCACATCTGGCTAACACACCTTCCCTTCACATTGAGATAATGAGGTGGCCATTGCCCACCTCTAAAGAGCCCCAGGTCCCTCCCGCTAAAAATGCCCGGAAGTCCGCCCACCCAGAGAGCGCTTGTCTCTCGGGCTTTGAACACGAGCATCAACCACGCAGAGAACGGAACCCAACGTCGGGTTCCGCCTCTCATTAATTACAGCCCCGCCCACCGTCAGGCCCCGCCTTCTAGGGACCGAAGTCGCGGCCGCTCCGGACCCGGGACTCTCCGAGGTCGCTCACTGCCTCTGGGTGTGATCGAGGCCAGGATGCCGTTGGAGCCGGCCCTGGCGCTCCCTGCCCCTGGTTTCTAGTCGTCAAGATCGCGGGTTCTCTAGAGTGCGCTCCAAGTCAGTTGTCAGGAGTCCGGCGGACTGCGTTCAGAAGTGGGCCTTTGGCGCCGCCTGTCTTCGGCGCTTGAAACAGGAAAGCACAACGCCGCTCAAAGAACAGTTGCTTCACTGGTTAAATGTTTGTGTAACTCTAATATCTGCCGACTCCCCCCAGCAGAACAGCGGATCTGCTCTCATAGTATTTGGAAGACACCGAGAGGGCTTCACCCTGGCCCTCAAGCTGAGTGGTCTCTGTGTCTTTACAGCAGCTTGCTGTCCTTCCTCTCGAATCCTGTTTCCCAGGGAGGAAGGCACAATCTCTCACCTGGGGACCAAGAATTGTTAGGGCTAGGTCCCTCCTCCTCACTAGCTTGAAAGTGTCCACACCGTTCTTGGGGGAGGTGTGTATGGCAGGAGGGAGTGGGTTTGGGCTCAGAAGTCCTCAGTTGGGATCTGAGAGTCACAGTTTTTTGGAGTAAGATTGAGTTCAAGGCTGTCCTCTTTATCAGTGCTCATCTCTACATTTGAAAATATTAGTCTGCTGACTCCCACACTAGTTGGGGACTCCAGGAAGCCAGAAGATTTGAGTTCAGTGCTAGGAACTCAATAAAATATTATTCAAACAATATTGGGACAGACCAGGGAGCTAAAGTTGAGGGGAATGAAAGTAACATCTACTGAGCACAACTCGGTGCCAGCACCCCCTGCTTCAGAGCCATCCCGGGCAAACTTGGGACTCGTGTGGGATGGCTTCCAGAGGGGATTCCAGTCCTGTTGTCCTGGCCTCTACCAATGCACGTGGGGCTTGGTGCCAAATAATAATGAAAACAATAGTAGATGTGTGCAGTGCTTATTTTATGCCTAGCCCAATTCTAATGGATTTGCATTTGAGAATAGTTTAAGGACCATAGTGTTAAAAAATATTTAAGAACCATAACAATCCCAAAGAAGTGCTAGTTAAAAAAAAAAAGGAAGTGCTAGTTTTACCACAGTTTATGAATGAAGAAGCTGAAAGCACTTGCCTGAGTACCTGTGTTAAGCCCTGCCCAATTTGACCGAGTTAGTAAGTGGAGGTTTGAATCCGATTCTATGATTTCACCCCTAGAGCAGAGCCAGTGAATAGTGACAGCCATGTCTCTGGTCCAGAAATGCCCGCCTCCCAAGGAACTTGCTTTTGGGGGTAAGGCTGCAAGATGTGAGCTCCCAGGCTGATCATGCTGTGATTGGGTGTGGGGGGCAGGTGAAGCCTTCCTCATAGTCAGTTGTGGTTTTGATGAATGATAATTCTAACTGAGGCATTGCCTGTGACCTGGTAAGATCCAGACAAGAGGCCCAGAACAGGTGCAGCTTTAGGGTCTCTGAGATTGGCCATGATTTTAGCATGGTTTTGATTGAGTTTGGGGATTTTTCTCCAGGAGACAAATTAGCAGTGGTTAAGACCAGGCACCGTGCACCAGACAGGCTTGCTTCCATTCCAGCTCTACTGCTTGAGGGTTGCAGACTTTAGGCAGATTCCCTAACCGTTCCTCATTTGAAAAATGGGCATACTATAATGCCCATGATAACCACAATAATCTGTTGGAGAAAAGAAAGAACTCTATGAGGAGAGACAGGTCTCTTTCTGGAAGCTGGTGAGGACCTTCAAGGTGGCTGCATGAACCTCCTACAGGAAGTGCTATCTATTTTAGCTGGCAGAATCCAGAAACTGATTGTGGGAGAGCTGAATCCCCAGAAACTGACATCTGACACCCACCAAGTCCCTACAGTAAGGGTTCCCAAACATTGTCAGTTTACCATGTCCTGAGTGTCTCACTTGATTTTTTCATGGAGTCCCTCGGTCACCCAACAGTTCCATTTAGTAAATAGTTAGATATAAACAATGTAAGAAATGCTTGTGTTTTAATACTTCAGTAGTCATTTGAGAAAATAATATAGAGATATTGGAAGATACAAAAATATTTTATTCTTAAATGACCATAGTCGCTTGCCGGTGGGGTGTGTGCACCACTTCTCAAAACTTGGAATCCGACTGGACATCGTCACCTTCATTTCCTGTTCGGCATTGACTTTCACTGCGGTACTTGCTTTTTATCATGGCAGCTGCCAAAATTCCAGCTGTGCAAAGAGATTATGTCATCGAAAGGAATGTAGTGCAATCCG